AATGATAATAGTGTTTCGGGGTCAAATGTTCCACGTGACCAGCTTCTGAAAGTGGCCAGACAGACAGTCATTTTTTTTTTCGCGTACTCGCATATATCCAATCCTCGTGACTCTACAAAACCTGTTTCGTCGACCTTTAAACGATATTCGTTTATTGCAATTTTGTTCTCGTGCACCGGACGAATCCGATCATATTTTAAACCCATCGATCCATGATTTTCGCGAAACATTTCGATTTCCCAAAAGAAAAAGAAAAAGAAAAAAATTTTTCGCGCGAGAAAACCTCTTCGACTTCTTTCTCGTTCTCCAGAAAGCGAAAGAAAGAGATGAAATCGGGGGACCGGAAACCATCACCGTTTGGGACGATTTTCGAAACGATCAACGTCGTAACATTCGCGTTTACCAGGCGAAAACGTTCGACCTCTTTCTCCTTTCGGCCACGTGGACGGAACGTGTAATTACGCTTAATTCGAATTTTCACGTCCCTTTCGCGCTCCACGGCCTCTCGGAGAGAAGAGGAGGAAGAGCGGGGCGGTATACTCTCGCCAAGATTCGAATCCTCTTCCCACTGTGTGTTTACTTTCTACGAAAAACAATCAGAGAGAATTTTACCGCGATTGCTTTCACGATTGTCTCGCGTTCTCATTGTTCCTCCACGTCAAATCGTATCGAGTTAACGGGCTAACGGCAAGCTTTTTAAACTTGTTCGCACATTTCCGTGTGAAGCCGATTATATCGCGCGTCCATCTGCCCCTCCCCTCCCTCCTTGATCCGCGACAACTTTATGAGAAAAATTGTTGCACGCTCCTCTGCCTCGTCCTCGTGTAAATTAATCCGCATTATGCGCGAAGGAAACGACTTTTCTCTCTCTCTCTCTCTCTCTCTCTCTCTCTCTCTCTGGCGTCTGGAAACGTTTTTCTTTCTTCACTCCGTTCTTATCCGCCGCAGATGTCTAAAGTTTCGTAAATCTATCCTCTGTAATTTTTGACTAAAATCGTATTTCCTCGTTCTTAGCTCTCCCGTTTCTGCGGTCGTGGATCGAAAAGAATAGGTGGAAAAATAAGAATGATGCAACTGGTGGTGGTTACTCATCTTGAATTCTATCGTCTTCTGTTAGAAGTTAAAAAGATCGTATAATATTTAATTAACCTTAACGCCATTTTTCCTCGATAAACGGTAATTCGAATCGTGGCAAGAACCAATTGTTGACCCTTCTGTATCTCTAGGGGGTTTCATATATTCATTTTCCAAGTAATTATTTATTACTGAACGATATTGAAAAATTATTTGAAACGTTTCCAATTAGGAATTATTCGTTCGAATTATTCGAGCAATTACATTTTTACAGTTCATTGGGAAAATTAATTAAATGAATTTCCTTGAACAAAATAACGAAACGAAAGAAAAATAAAATCTTTCCTACTTTTTTGCTCGAAGTTTCTTTACATAATAATTTATATAGTAAATAGTAGATAATAATTTATATAGTTCTTAAAGCGATTTAATCGATTTTAATCCGAAGACGAAAAATCAGATTTTAAATCTGCATCGAATGAAAGAAACCTTTCCTTTCACTCGACTAAGTTCGAGCGGTAAAACGTTCCGATCCAATAAATAGGCAAAGAATATCGCTGTGCATAATTTTCCCCGTTCAAGCGGATCGGTTCTGCCAGCTCGATCTCACCGAAAATCGTTTATCTTTCCAATTTCTTTGTGCAAATCTCGACGAATACATTTTTTCCAGATATTCACAATTACTTTGATTCAATTTCCTCGATCTCTTCGAAGAAAGATCCCCCCTCCCCTATTTATTTTACAATTTCTTCTTTACTATTTTTTTCAACTCGCTTTATCCTCACAAACATCCATATTTATTCGATTCTTTTCCCATATTTACAATTGCAATTGAATTTTCTTGATCCACAGAGTATATTCACAATTTTATTCCATTTATTTTTTTTCAGGTCAGTTCGTTCATCCAAAGATTATTTATAACTACAATTTGCATACGGGCACTCTTCCAGGAATACCGGATGCAAAAATGCAAAATAAGAATCCTTTATAAGAATTCAACGTTCCTTTCCAATCTCAAAAGTATCAAATTTAAACGAGAATCGACAATCGGGCCAGGAGCTGGAACCAAAAAAATTTGTCGCTCGAGCCATCTGTACGCGGTTCACACGTATACGCGGGATGAACGCGTAACTCGTGAAGAGGTCGGCGAAGAACTGTTACAGCGACGTGTGTCGAAGCGCGACGGGAAAGAAAGAAAGGAAGAAGAAGAATAAGAAGGAAAAGGACGGGAACGTTATAAGTTAAGCCGGTCACACGCCGGTATTCCAGTTCGACCGCGACGGAATAGTATCCAAAATTGAAAAGAACGAATACGTGGCTCTCGTGGAGTACATAGCCTCGAATAGCCTGGAATGGAGGGGGGGGAGGGAGAATTTATTCCTATCACGAGCCCTGACGGCGGAGGTCAATCCACTTGGAGTCGGGGATTGCTTGCTCCAGCTCGGGGATGGGATGGGATATACCCAACAGGGAAAAGAGATCTCTCCGGGAAACGGATCGATGGACAGATTTCGTCGGTTGTGCTCTTCGAACCGAGAAAATACTTGGAAATCCTGGAACGGAAAACTGTTGACCAATGTTGGCCTAACAGTTCTTCGACCTTCTAAAAATTGTCCAACGCAACGACGATGCTCGGTGAAACGGTTGCGGTTCGATCCACGATTGGATTTTAAAACGTTCGAATTGGTTGGGAAAAAAGAAGCGGCAAATTGTCGAAGGAACGGGAAGAAATCGAGTGGCGGGGCCAGATGAAAATTCTTCTCTTTCGATTTTCTCTCTCTCTCTCTCTCTCTCTCTCTCTCTCTCTCTCTCTCTCTCTCTCTCNGAAAGAATTTTGTGCGTTCGATTGATAAATAAGGCCGGATAGGAGAATTTACGGTCGACCTCGTTAAATGTTCATCACGGATTCCACAAGTCGATTCTCACACCGCGACACGAGCCGTTCGTAAACGTAATTTGTTTTAACCCGTTAACCCCTTATTCCTTTTACGATTACTAGATCGGTCCATCTTTCCAAAGGAAGAGCTCGCGTTCGTCGCGGTTTTAATTAAATAACGAGAGAGAGAGAGAGAGAGAGAGAGAGAGAGATTAATCCCGTGAAATAATATATTGCTATTTCTCACGTTTTGCCTATATCTATGAAACCGAACTTAATAATTCTTTGTTATTTTTATTATATATTCCTTCTTTTTCTTCGTAAAACGCCAACTTACGTAATCGCGATATTCACGATATATGATTATATTTGCATCAAAACAATCGTGACAAATCAGTATATAAATCAGATTAAACGAAATTCGTTCAAGTAAATTGGTTTATTACCGAGAAATTCGATAATTTTTCGACGATTATGTAATTTGTGTTTGGCAAATCTTACTTAATCTTACAAAACAGACGCCGGTGTCACGTTTTTTTTTTTTTTGAAATAGGGATATTATATAGCTGGATTACGACAATTATGTTTCGCGTGTATACCCTTTTTTTTTGTTTCTTTATTCAAAAAATTTATACGAGAAGAAAATAACCAGCCAGCTTAGACTCGATGAGTTAACAACTTCAATGAAGGTTTTTTTTTTTTTATATACGTCACGTAATGTTGCACGTGATCATTATCTATAATCTAGAGGGAAAAGAAAAAAATAAAAAGGAGTCATAGAAATCGCTTGAATCCTGCATTCCGTTTAATAAAATATTGATAGTTTGCCGTTCCATCGCGTGAAACGTCGGATTTAATAAAGAAAAAGACATAGAAATCCTTCATAACCTATTAAGCTACTTTAGAAATACTTTATAAGATGGAAAAATATGCATTATCTGAAATATATAAACGTACATGACATTTCAATATCATCCCGTTGATTTTTATAAATTTTCATTGAACAAGTTTCTTCTAATAAAGATTTTTAGTTAGAATAACGATATATTTTTCACTTCTCATTTTATTTTTTAACTTTTCCTTTCTTATTTTTAGTTTCGTTACTAACGATTCCTTGATGCATTTCGTGTCGTACAAAGTTTTTTTTTTTTCGTATCGAAAAAATACGAATGAATCGAGTATCGCGTTTCCCTGCAATTGAAAGAATGCACGCAAAATGACCAACATAAATTTACTTATCACCGCGTAAAATGTAACGCATCAGCATGTTTTACCGTTTCGTTTCATTATTTTTAAAGGAATATTATTGTTCGTTACGTTACGTAATATTTTATAATTGAATAACTTTCGATCGTTTAAAATGTTATTTTCAAAAAATAATATGTTAAATAACAAATAACGTTCATCATTGTATTTCCTATTTTTTTTTTTTTTTCGCTGATCAACTCTGCACATACTATAAATATTATATAATCGAATCCATGGTAAACATTTAATTCCTTTCATCGACTATTTACCATCGATTATTTTATATTCTGACGAAAGAACATTTTAGACATTTTAGATAGTTCTCCAACGTGAAGACATTTAAAGGTCAACACATTCGTCCATGTAATTAAGTAACAGTTTACAAATCATCTCAAAGGCCATTCGAATTTGAAAAGACTTCCTATCTTGCACTTTCCTCGCGATGACCGCATCGTACAATGTAAGCAACGAGAATAATCTTTTACATAATCTTTTTTTATCCTGCAAAAAATTTCATTAGCACACGATGCATGAAAATTATTACTTCTCTACGCGATTCGCGTAGAAAATATCTATAAATTATCTATAAAAAAACTATGATATATCTTATCCATAAATGTATTCTCATACATATTCTCTTTCTACTCTCAATATTTCCTCTACAACTGCATCGATCCAACTTTCCGCTCGCATTTCCGGTGACAAATCCTGCACACACGAAACGAGATCGCGGCCGAGGCGTTCGAGAGAACGAAGCGCGCAAAAGCGGAAGCTCAGTGATAAGGAGAAGGACTGGACTTACCGGGGCTGCCTCCTAATCCCTCGTTCACGATCGTATCCAGATTGTCATGGCACAACAATACAATCGGCCGCGCACACAGTGGCGAGAACCGAGTGTTGGTAAAAAGTAAGAAGAAAAGAAAAAAAAAAAGAAAAAAAAAAAATCACCTTCGAAAAACAAAAACTTCACTGAATCAGTTTCCTTTCACACTCCTTTCTTTTTCTTTCTTTCTTTTTTTTTTTTTTTTTTTTTTTTT